CAGAGACGGAAAGTTGACTAACATAGACTATCCTGGATTATACAATGGACAATAAATGTAACTACAAGTGTCCTTAGCGGAGAGATTTGACCACAGAAGACAACGTGATGGCTGAAGCTAGACGTTGCACTCTGGCTTTGGAATGGCAAGCAGGGCCGTTAGCCAAGGAATGCAAAGAACGCAGCTCCAGCAGCTGGAAGGAGTGGGAAACGCATTCTTACCTTCACACAGCTCCAGAGCAACCCCAGCTGTGCCAGCACCTTGATTTCAGCCACTGGAACTGATTGCAGATTTTTGAACTCCAGAAACGGAGAATTTTGGGTTTGTTTGCTTCAGCATGGGAGATGGCACAGGGCTACATCCCCAGCCCCTTTTATTTTTTATAAGTGGTATTTTAACCCACCAACTTTGTAATCATTTTTCAATGGCAATTGGAAAAAACTCACACACCTCTCCTCCACCTTAAACAATAAAAAAGCAGGACAAAACAAATAAAATAACGGTTTTCATGCATGGGACAAAAGCAGCACAGAACCGTGATCCTTGAGAGAAACTAAATGAGCTGAGCCCTTACCATGGCCCCAGTTGACTTTGTTGTTTCAAAGCCACAATGCAGGAAAGAAGAATCCAAACACAGTCAGATTCTCCTTAAGGAGAGGAAAAACTGAGAATTCAGGAAGAACAGTACAAATAAATTCGCAAAGCACTGAGTAAGACAGACCTGCACAGAGACAGAACTTACACAATGTGCCAAGGGATGCCCTGTCTTCAGCTGAGGGCTGATTAGAATGACTTAGTCTTAGTGATGAGAATAGCAAAGTTGTAAAAGTTGACATATCAAGTGCTGGTGAAGGTGCAGAAATAGAACTCTTCATACATTGCTACTGGGAATACAAAATGGTACAGCCACTCTGGAAAACAATTTAGTGGATTCTTCCGAAACTAAACATCCCACAACCCCAACAAAACTAGTCTGTTATTTACTAAAAAGATGCAAAAATCATACAAATGTTGCTAGATTAGGGTCCAGGCTGCCCACTGCTGGAAGGCCAATATTCAGGTGATGGGTAGTAGAGGTTTATTCAAGGGCCAGCATCTTGCAAGATGCACAGGCTCAACCTTAAAGTTCTTCAAAAAGTCATCCTGGGGGACTCGGGTGCAATGAGCATTTTAAGAAAAGGAAAGGACAAGCTGGGGATGTAGCTCAGTGGCACAGCGCCTGCCTGGCAAGCACAAGGTCTTGAGTTCAATTCTCAGTCCACAAAATAAAAACTTTTTAAAAATAAAGAAAAGGAAAAGACAAGGAGGGCAAGAAAGCTATGTGCTGAGTGGGGTCTTCATCATTCATCAGAGTGCTCAGTTAAAACCAGAACATTGTTTGCACCTAAACCAAGCCTGCAAGTCAGAGGTTGCAATGTAAACTAACACTTTAAGCTTCCGAGGTACAATTTAATGATATGAGGCAGATTCTGTAAATTCATAAAGATGTTCTGTCTCTGAAAAGACTTGAACATAATTTACCTAATTCCGAAGTCAAAGCCATTAGGTTTTTTTTTTGGTTTTTTTTTTTTTGTTTTTTTTTTTGAGACAGGGTCTCACTATACAGTCAGGCCATCCTTGAATTCACTAGGCAGCTCAGGCTGACCTCAAATTCATGGCAATTCTCCTGCCTCAGCCTCCTGAGTTCTGGGATTACAGACATGCACCACTGTGCCCTACTGATATTTCTTGAAGACTAATAAAACCCAAGTTCTCCTTAACTATCTGAAATGTTTAAATATTGTTTGATGAATATAGTGCTTAAAGTAAAATCAAAGATCCTCTTGTCACTGGCTCACATGAATTCTGGGTCTCATAGAAGACAGAAATCAAACTAGGCTTCTTCCTGAGCCTCTGTCACCACTGTCTGCCCTGTTTTTCTGGGCCTTCTAAAGAGACAGTTCCCACACTGGCTTCCAAATCAACTGAAACTTCTGCTCAATTCATACAGAAGTTTCAAATTGGCAAAGCGTAGCTCTCTTGGTATTAATAGCCCTGGCTTTGAATGCCAGTGACCCTCCTTGCTGCTCAGGGCCAGCAACTATCGGCAGTTCTCCGGAACTCTTAAGCTACCAGAGACGGTGGCACCCACCTACTCTTCATTGCTGTCATTTGCTGCCAGCTACCCTGAGTATTATGAGCACCAAGTGGTGGCCACTTTCAGCATGAGGGGCCTTTTTTTGGTGTTGCCAGCAACCTTTGTATTACCAGCTCCTACTGGACCAGCTCAGCATGCTCTACTCAGGATATAAATCACTAAGAGGGAAGAACAAAGCATCTGACAGACGCTTGATTAGGACTCCTGCTGCAGCACTGATGCTGCAGCACACTGGCTGCACCCGCTAAAGGTATGTGGAGGATGCTTCACAGGAAAAAAGGAGGGCTCGTGTGTGTACAGCGGCAGACTGCTCATAGGTTGGGGGTCTCTGCAGACCGGAATGACGAAAGCTACAGAGGGGTAGAATCATCAAGAGAGGCTGATAGGTCCACGATTAAACATGCTGCAGCTGAGGGAAATATCTCCCAGAGCAGCGGTGGGGTGCCTGATGTAGTGGGCTGGTTGCAAGGTGTCTGAGGAAGCCACAGAAGAAAATTAAGAAGTACTTCTTGGGGAGCATCAGGCCTGTCTTCCCTGTCTCACTCTAATATAAATGTGGAAGTTTTAAGTTAATACCTTTAATGATGTCCTCTGTGTTAAGTCCCAATTACCTGAGATTAAAGAATAAATAAATAATAAGCTCAGTGGTAAAGTGCTTGCCTAACACATGCAAGGCACTGAGTTCAATTCCTGCACCCCCATCAACAGTAAATTTCAACTTGAAGGTACAAGCCTAGGATCTACTTCTTATCACAATCTGGGCTTGTTCCCTCTTTCCCTACACCAAGATCCATTATCTTAGCTAAGGTATCAAACGAGAAACTATTACATAACCTTCAATTTTCCTTTCAAGAAAGTTATCTAGAGTTGATTAAACAAACCCCAATTTTTTTTTTTTGGGGGGGGGGAAGACAGAGTCTCACTATGTAGTCCAGGCTGGCCTTGAATTTGCTGTGTAGCCAAGACTGGTACACAGCAATCCTTCTGCCTCCACCTTCTGAGTGCTGGGATTACAGGCATGTGCCACCACGCCCAGCACAAATCCAAAATTATGATTCTTTTTAATCATTTACCATTTGTCAAATACATAAATACTATTAAAGAAAAATGCATGTAACACATTAAGTACAAATAATATATTTTATTTCAATCTTGAAAACAAAAAAACAAAAATATCTACATCTAATCGAGAGAACAACTATTTCAAACTTCACCTGGTAATGGTATATAATTAACTTCTTCACTTAAAGGTACAGAGAAGACAGTTTGGAAAGCTATCTTCATGAAATAATATTTTCTCATACTTATTTTAACAAAATATTATAATTAATGCTACTACTTATGGTAGCATATTGTAATAATGAACAATACAGTATCTAAAACTAAATTCGATATAGTCTAAATCTAGATGCTAGCTGCACTTGAGCAGTTATTATAGAGAATAAATACTATGAAATACAGGGCACCATTTAGCAGTCAGATTTGCTACATGGAAATTTAAATAAAGGTGTACTTTGTTCTACACTAGAATTACCCAAGATTAAATTTTCTTGTGCTGTATACAGTCACTGCTTTCCTGAAAATATAGTCAATCTTCATAATTTATTTTAAATGTTCTTAATTATTTTAAGGGGTCATTATATAAGATGACTATCTAATCCAAAATTCCATAAAGCAGGATACTCTTATGTTACATAAATAGTAGCATTTTCCAAGCAATTTATGCAGCACAAATACCTGTATTATATACATCTATCTAAAGTCCTTGAGTCCTGTCCTCTCCTACCAACAAACGCAAAAATTACCCACATATGGAAATCATGTGCTCTTCCTGATGTCATAGACATTCAAGGAGTTAAGTTTCATTTTTTTTTTTTTAAACACAATCTCACTAAGTTGCCTCAGTTGGCCTTGACCTCTCAATTCTCCTGCCCTAGCCTCCTGAGTAGCTGAGACCACAGGTGTGTTAATGTTGCACCTAGCAAAGTGGTTAAATTTAAAATCAAAATTCATGTATGCGAAAAATCATGAATATAGTTATATTTCATTTCATCATAAAAATATTTTTATTCTTCAGAATATATGTAAGAAATTTTAAAGTATGTGATTAGAGATACAACTTTAATGTTGTTATTAAATTGCCCCCAATATGTAGACTAGGTTATGGACAGTGGCTGCTACCATTTCAAGATTAACTCTTTTTTTTTTTGGTCTTTTTGAGACAGAGTCTTGCTATGCAGTTGCAGTTCCAGCTGGCCTTGAGCTCACTTTGTAGCCCAGGCTAGTCTTGAACTCGCAATGATCCTCCTGCCTCAGCCTCCCAAGTGCTGGGATTACAGGCGTGAGCCACCACGCCCGGCTCAGGATTAACTCTTACAAATGTAATTTTTAAAAATATACAATTATTAACCTTCCTCTATTTTGAAGGATAGTGCAAATGAAGACATTCTTTGGGTCATGGATTATTTTTAACATTATACTTCCCTTCTCTGATCATATTCTGAGTAATAAAATATAGTATTGGAAGTAAGCACATTTTCTAATAGCCTTAGTTGAACAGTTACATCTACTGAGAACAAATGACAGAAGAATGATTCCGTAACAATATTCTCCACTTGTCTGAAAACATGTTACATACTTAAATAAATATTTTATGAAACAAATCCATGTCTTTAGTGTTTTTGTTTCAGCTTGACCTCAAACACAAAACTTTACACAAAGATCACCTACATGCTTACTACATCAACCATGTTGCCAAACTCCCTTTAAGGATGTAGTACAGCATGCAAGAGACTTGCCTGAAAGCAAACTAGTAACACTTCAAATTTTATATACAGTATTAGAGGTCCACAAATCCAGCAAATTCCTTGAAAATGTGTTGGGCTTTTATTGTAAAGTATTACTCTCTCCTAGCCAGCAGTTAAAAAGCTTTTCCGTGATGGCAAATAGTCCGTAGTGGATACAGCAGTACAAGGTGATCTTCAACTGCTATCTAATGCTGCCCGAGGCATTTATCCTTTTATTTGTGGTTACTGGCACCAAATTCCCATTAGTGCCATTGGTAGTGTTAGTGGCTGAGCCATTCACAACAATATAGTCGACTTTGTTCTCCAGCTTCACCAAGCGTTGTAAAATGTCATCCAAAAGGACAGCAATTGTTCTCTTCAGATCGGCTAGGGGGAAGAAAATCAGAACGTTAAGTATCGGGAGGACATTTAATATTTGTGTTTTTATATTTTGAAAGAAAACAGTAAATAATTATCAAGTCATCTGAGAGAAAATATACAGAGCGTGTTACTCAAACTACAAGTAGGGAAAGCCTATTTTATATGGAGCTTTATTTTTCCTCTTTTTCCCCCCGGGGGTGGGGGTATATTTTCATCAATGTTTTAATATAGAGTTTTGAAAAGGAATGTGGGAGCTGTAAATATGGGGCACTCACTTTTGCAGGGCAACAGAACAGATTTAAAGGCTGGTTCAAAAACGTTAGTCCTTCTGTAAGGAACAGATTCACTCTGAGTTTCTTAACGCAATTTGAAAGGATTAGATCAGACCAGGCAGCAAAGTGAAAAGGTTGCGAGGAGGTGCACGGAATACAGCAAACAGCAAGCTGTGCCTCCACAGGCTGCAGTGCAGGTGAGAGCCTTGGGTTCAAAGCAAACGCCAGGGGTATGGTCAGTGCAACAGGCAGTGACCTTGTACTTCAACTTCTTCCAGAGAAAAGATGGGGAAGACTGTATCACTGAGCTCTTTGGAAGGTTAAGGGCTTCAGCAGAATCTACCTGAGAAGAATGAAAGGATGAGTTTTTTCTTTTATAAGATTCTCTTTTCTCAGGTTTACAGAAAACGTCTAATAAATATTAGGGGCTCAATATTAGCAGTATTGTTTTGGGGTTTTTTTGCTTTGTTTTGTTTTGAAACAGGGTGCTACTGTACAGCCCAGGTTAGCCTTGAATTTGTTATGTAGTGCAGCCTTGGCTTAAACATGCAATCCTCCTGCCTCAGTGTCCTGTGTAATACTGGTCCTTTTGTTGTTGTTTTTGGATCAGTTTTTCTTTTGTCTTTTATCTCAAAACAAAAAAGCAGCCTAATCTGGGATTACCAATGAAAATCATGTAATGCCAACTGATAAATTTGCCAATGGATCTATTATTAAAATATCAGAAAAAGCATGAACCACACAAAAAACCAAATAAATTGAACTTCATCAGAATTAGTAACTCTGGAGTTAGTATGGTGGCACATGCCCATAATCTCAGTACTCTGGGAGGCCGAGGCAAGAGGATCACAAGCTGGAACCCAACATGGACAAATTAGCAAGACTCTGTCTCAAAATAAATAAAAAGGGGTGTAGATATAACTCAGTGATAGAGGCCCCCTGGGTTTAATCCTGGGCATGACATACACACAAAAATAAATCTGAAACATAGTAAAGGCCACAGTAATCAGGGACATGTCCAAACTAAGTGTCCTCAATGCCTATGTGCTTCCCAAGCTGCATGTGAAACTACATCATTGTTTGAACTGTGTCATACACAGCAAGGTCATCAGGAATCAATCTCATGGAGCACAGAAGGGCCACACACCCCTGCCACGATTTACACCAGCCAGTGCTTCCTTACAACCCCCACTGAAACCCATAGAAGAAGCTGATCCTTAAGGTCTAAAGAAAAACTACCATCCTCTGCAAAAATAAATAAAATGGAAATAATATTCTTTTTGTTTTTGAGACAAGGTCTTACTATGTAGTTTAGGCTGGCCTTGAACTCTCTCTCTTTTTTTTTTGTTTTGTTTTGCTTTGTTTTTTTTCCAGTACCGGGAATCGAACTCACGACGTCGTGCTTGCCAGGCAGGCACTGTGCCGCTGAGCTAAATCCCCAGCCCCTGGCCTTGAACTCTCTATGTAGCCCAGATTGGCTTAAAACTCCTGAAGATCCTCCTGCCTCAGACTCCCAAGTGCTGGATTACAGGCATTAAACCACCACACCCTGCAGAAATTACACTTTTAAAAAAAGGGGAGCAGGGAGGACTTGAACAGATGTTTCTCTGAATAAGGATGGAAAAGGCAAACAAGCATGAAAAAAGGCATTTAGGAAACTATAAATCAAAGCCACAAGAAGATATCACTTGACACCTATTCAACTGGCTATAATCAAAGAAGGAATGACGTGTTGGCAAGGGATATGAGGAATTTAAAAACCTCTTACATTACTGATAGGAACATGAAATGATGGAATTACTGTGGAAAATGGTTTGGCAATTTTTCAAAAGGTTAAAAAATAAAAGTTAAGTTAAATAAAGTTAAAAGTTAAATAAACATAAAGTTACCATGCATGCAATTACTGTGGAAAATGGTTTGGCAATTTTTCAAAAAGTTAAAAAATAAAAGTTAAGTTAAATAAACATAAAGTTACCATGATCCAGGAAGTCCACTCCTACATATATACCTCCAAGGACAAGAAATACTGTATACCAAAGTTCCTTTTTTGTGAAGTTTTATTCATAATAGCCAAGTTGTAAACAACCCAAGGGTCCATTAAAAGATAAAATGTGTTATATACATAAAACAGAGTATAATTCAGCTATAAAAAAACAAATGGTATTCTGGATCAGTGCTGTGGGTGAACCTTGAAGATACTGTACAAAATACATAAACCAGACACAAAGTTCAAATATTGTATGGGTCTACTCACACGGAATATTTAAAACAGGCAACTTCAAAGATAGAAAGTAGGTGAAAGGTTATCAAGGACCAGGGAGAAAGGAATGAAGTGTTATTTTTCTTTGGGCTCGTCCAGGAATTGTGCCCCCACAAATTACTGCTTAGTAGTTCAAAAGTTTCTTGTTTGTAGTGATGCAAGGTTTGAAAAGAAATATGGATGGTTCCACAACATTGTAAATGTGATTAATACCAATGAGTCATACCCTTAAAAATGGCTACCTAGAGCTGGACATGGTGGTGCTCACCTATAATCCCAGCATTTGGAAAGCTCAGGCAGGAGGATCATGGTGAGTTCAAGGCCAGCCTATGCTACATGGTAAATTGATGGGCAGTCTAAACTATGTAGCGTGACCCTGATGTGTATATGCTCTGGAGGCTGAACCCAAGGACTACAACCCAGGGCTACAACCCAGCTCTTACAATACAATTTTTAAAAATTTTCTGTAGATTTCAAAGTTTTCAAAATAAAAGGAAAAGGAGACAATTCTTAAGATCTTTCAATCAAGAGTTGTAAGAATAAAAAAAAAGTTGTACAAGTACCTGATAAATAGGAGATAAATATATATATATTTTTTAAATCCTTTAGTAGTAAGACTAAAAGATGAATACTAGACCTCTGTTTTCCTTTCCTTTTTTTTTTTTTTTTTTTTT